AGAGTCTGGGCAGCTGAGGCCCAGAGAAGGAAAGAATCCATCTGTGATGGACATGAACCAGGTGCAAGCTCCCTGGATCTACCAGTTAAATCTCGTGGTTTCATCCTAAAGGAAGCTGCACTTCCTTAAGGGACAAGATCTTTTAGGAGCTGCCCACAAATACTTGGAAAACAAGCCCTCAGAGTTTGGAAGCTATGATGCAGGCTTCAGATTAGTGCTATGAGAAAAGAAAAATGTTAAAAGTCACAAAAGAGTTGACCCTTTTAATTGTGTACAAGACCTACTGATTCTAAGATAAGTTCCTTCCATGTTTTATTCAGGTCACTAATTCAGAAGGCAGAGTGTACTGCACTTGGAGAATGGAAAATTTAAAATGATTTGGGTTGTGGCTTGTTCCTAACTGCCTGCAAGTCACTACTCCGCCATGTTTGGCTACTGTGTTTGGACAGAACTTTGGACACGATGAGGCTGGGCAGGCTCCTCCCACTGCCACTTACTCAGGCATGCCTTGACTACAACAAAGGCCTTTTAAGAACCTCAGTCTCCAAGTCTAGTGGGAGGCTTTGTCTTGCCTCCCTCAGCCTGGAGGTTGTTTTTCAAAAAGCAAAGAGCAGTGAAACAGACTGCTGAAATAGAATGGGTTGCAAAGGAAAATCTTTGGAGTCATAGAAAACTTCCTACCAAAATAGATCATTTCCAGCAGAGGCCAGAATTTAGAAATTCCTAGGGCTCGCTGGAAACTTCAAGGATAACCACAGTGGCCCGTAACCCTCTTAGTAAGCACCGGACTGGATGCACACCCTAAGGGGAGCAGTTGGGTCAGAAACTCTCTTGACCGCCCTATGAGGTCTAACACCCCTCCTTTTCATCCTAGATTACTGCTTGCTTGACACACACGACTGCAATTAAGTGTTAAATCTCACATCTGATAAGTGAGAAGGACTACCCAGAGAGCTTAGAAACAAGGCACTTGTAGTTCCTGCTGTGACCCACTAGGAGCTCTGCTCCTAAGGGCAGGGAAGCATGGTCCAGCCCTACAATCCCTGAAAAAGACACAACACATGAAGCTCAATCCTTGAGCCATGCTCACGCAGCACAATAGTGATCAATATCTGAATGTATCCGCTTCCCTTACATCCTTTTAAAAACAATCTTGAAGATCGCTTTGTTGATCTTAATGCTTGTTGATCTTAATGCGGAGATGGGGTATTTATTTCTAAAAACTGTAGACCATTTCAGTTTTGAATATTAAGCCTATTATAAATCCCTTCATATCCATCTTAGAAAAGCCAAAAAGAGTTTCTTGGAAAGAACTAAGGGATTCCCCAGGCGCCCAGCTGAAGGGGGGGATGGCTCCCCTCCCTCTTGGAAGAGGAAGCCACAGCTGCTGTCAGAAACACATGTTACTGCTACTCTGGCTTTTGAAAAGTGACAGGGAACAGGACTTTTGTTCAGGACTTGGATAATCTGTATAGAGCATAAAATCCCTACAATGAAACAGACCGAGTTTCTTAAATAAGAATGGCTACATAAAATTTTATACATATATTTTTTTCTTCCAGTTAACAGTCTTATATCTTAGGTGGGTTGACCAGACCCAAGACACACCCTACCCCTTGCTTCCCACCAAGTAGTACTGAAAATAACTCTTCTTCCATGAAGCCCTTTGGGAAGCAGGAAGGCTAGTGTAGCAGCCATCAGGAGCAAAGGCACAGGCACAGCTGGGTAACTGAGTTGTCTGGGACAGACCGTCACGGAACTCGCCCCACCACAAGTGGGGAGGTTCCTGGTCACCCTCAAGTCCTCCCATCCTTTAGTTCTATCTTAAAAGGCACATCCAGAAACGGTGCAGCTGGTGGCAGGGATAAGCTGCACAGTTGCTACACAGGGGTTAAGGGGCTGCAGAACTCTATGGCACAGAGCAGTGAGGGTATTCCTGCCTTCATCCAGACTGGGGGTATGGGAAGCAGTGGGAAGCGGTGCCCCTGGAATCCAGTCTGCTTCTGTGGAAGCCCAGGAGGGGCCAGCGACAGGCAAGACCAGAGTCGTGGTCAGTAGTGCATGGGCTTAGCAGGTCTTTGGTGCTTGTATAGCAGCATCTCACTTATGCACAAGGCTTCTGAAGCTGGCCAAGCTGGAGAGTCAGCTCCTACACACAGTGGCCGGCCTGACTCTCCTCCTGCGGCTGACAATCTGCTGCCCAGGGATGCAAAGCACAGGAAGTCGGTCTAAACTGCAGTGAAAACAGATTTTAGAAAGGATTTCCCAAAGACAGTCAACCCTTGGAAGGTTTCCTTCCCACCCTAGTTCTTTTGAACAGAAGAACTCAGCCCCTGAGCCCTACCCAACAGTTGGACCTCGTAGTCTTTCTCATGGATGAGAAACTCCTAAGCATCCTCCTCATGAGCCGAGTAAGAGAACGGTTCCCATGGGGGCCTGGCTGAGAGCAAGGGGCAGAGGTTCCGAGGGCCCACACAACTGCTCACCTCACAAGCCCCTGGGCTCCAGGACCAGCCAGTTCTCCGTGACCATCTGCACATCCTGGCCACTCAGAGGCTCCCGCAGCCTCACCTTTACCTCCAGCTTACCCCCCGTGGGCTTCCTTCCATCCAAGACCTGCAAGGACAATAGACAGGGAGATGGTCACTGAGGGGACAGGGCTGGACGCAGACACGTCCCTGTGCTCCCAAGAAAGGTGAGAGGAGTTAAGATGTCCTGCAGTAGAAACACAGGAGTCTACACTTCCTGACAATCCTGTCCTGCTGTCTGTGGGTGGCTCTGGGTGAGTCTTACTGAAAAGAAATATGGAAACGTAGATGAGCATCAGCGCTTTCACTCAAGTGGAGATTAAAAACCCAGAGCTCTGCTCACTGTTTTCCCTTCAATCCCAAGGCAACCTCTAGAAGAAATATTGGCTTTTAGGTGCAGCCTGAAAACCACCGAGCCCAAACCCTCACTTAACAGATGGCTCAGGGAAATGTGGAGAACCGTGTGGCAGTCAGGATAGAACCCAGGGCGAAGGTTCCTTCCCACCCAACCGCACTATTCCCTCTTTGAGGCAGGAGGTGGGCAGCTGGAGTGCAAAGCAGCACGACAGGCCCAAGAAGTCCCACCACCCTCCTGGGGCAAGGCAGACCAGGCCCCGTGTAAGACGGTTCCCCCAGACAGGCAAAGGGGCAGGTATGCTGCAGGGTAGAAGCCCTGGCTTACAAAGGCATCAGGAAGGGTCTGGTCCTAGCTCTAACAAGGACACACTATGAGCTTGTGTAACCCCCATTCCTCTCTGGCCTACGTTTCCTCATCTGTCAGAGGCAAGCTCTGAGAGTCCCTGCCTGTGTGATCCCATGCGTTCGTGGAAGCGTAGGGAGCTCTCAGAGGCCAATTCCTAACCACAGGCTGGCTGCACTCTGGTGGGTCCTTGTATGAAATTCGGACCTTCTGAATGGCTTCATCTGTGAAGTAAGGATTCCGCCTGCTCCACAGCACACTGTGGACAATTTTAAATTAAGTAATGGGCACAAGAGCCTACAACAGGGATGGGTGTTCAGTGCACGCTGGCTCTTCTCTTGCCAAGTCCTCTGGCTGGACCGCTCCCTGGGCCCTACCTCCACGATCTCTCTCATCTCACACTCATTCTCCAGCCGCTCCAGTTTCAGGTGTGCGGTGCCAACCAGCTTGTCACTTCTGAAGAAGGACCTGGGGAGCCGAGAGGCAGCAGAGGGTTGGACTGGGCAGAGAAGGCAGGAACTAATTGGCTGAGCCCGTGCTCTTCCAGCCACCTCAGCAATGTGCCTGACGGGAGCCTCACCCTTTGTGGAAGAGTTCAAACTTGACTCCTTTGCTCTGGATCACCCTCCTGAAGCCCCGGTGGTTTCGGTTGATGTTTAGTTTGAAAAGTTGATCAAACTCTGCAAGAAGGGGAGACGGGGGAGGGCTTTGCTCCCAGGGTTTCCTGAGGAAGGAGAAATGCAGGCCCAGGGCTGGCTTCCCTGCGGTCTCTTCCCTCTCCACCTCTCTGCCTGTGGTTTCAGGGTGACTGCCACCCAAAGATGGCAGAGCATGGAGGCCCCAGCCTCGGGAGCTGATGGTTTCTGTACTCTTGGTTAGACACAGATTATAGCCAAGGGGGAAGGACTTGGAATTCCTGTGTTCATGTTCCATCTCTACCATCTCCTACTATGAAACCCTAGGCAAGGCCTAGTACACCTCTGCACCTGTTTCCCCAACCACATAAGCAGTGTGCTAAAAGTACCTTTTGTCTCCCAAGTTGAGTGGACCAAGGAAGGCAACAGATCAGAAAGCATGCTGGAAACAAATGCTGCCCACACACACAGAGAGTAGAAGCAGCCCTCATGTGGCCCTCACCTGGGGAGTTCGTGTTCTTCACCACAGCTGTTTTGCCTTTTTGAGCCTGGTCCTACAGCAGTGAAAAGGGCAAAGTCAGGACAGAAGCACACAAGGCCAGGAACTCACAGCCAGCCCTCCAGGGGATGGGGAGGCACGGGGTCCCAGGATGGAAGGTGCGTTTCAGAGGAGCCGGCCTCTACCTGACCCTCACCGAGTTAGGATAGGGAAACTCAAACCGCACAAAAGCATCCAAGTCCTCAGGGGTCACCCCTGAGGGAGAGAAGAAAATCAAGTCAGAGGGAGTGGCAAGGAGTCCAGGGCCTGGGGTGCAGTGTTAAGAGCCGTCCTGAGGTCACCTGGAGGGGCTGGGAGGTTCATTCCCCGGACAACGATCAGATGCATTTCTGTGCTGCTGAGTTCTGAGAAGATCCTGCAGCCAAGAAGAAAGGAGAAAGAGCTCAAATGAAACCGCTCGAGGAGTGTGCCAGAATAAGGTACCAGAGGAAAGACTTGTCTCGGCTAGGAGCGGCTGAGCTGGCAAGCAACCTTGGTCTCTGACTCCGGGCCTACAGCTCTTTCCACAACAGCCGACAGCTGTGAGCCCCTCGCTGGCAGGCACCATGTCCTGTTCCTCACCAGCCCCAGTGCCCACAGCAGAGCTAAGCTTGAGAGGCCTCACCAAGTAGAGAAGTCTCCAGCCTCAGCTACCAGCCTCCTGCCCCAAGCCCATTTCCCTAGGCTTTGGCACCTCACAGTCTGGAATGTCTTCAACTCAAAGTGGTGGCTGGGAGGGTCAAGGGCCTGGGCCTGGGCTAGCTGCAGTATCTCCAGCTGTTTCTTGCGGTCCTGAGCAAGCTTCTCAAACCTGACAGGATGAACAGGCACGTCAGCAAGACAGGGTGTCTTTTCCACTGCCTGCTGCCACGTCTAGCCACGGCACTTACCGGGTAGTCTCCGCCACATTGCCCTGGTGCATGAACTGCTTGGAGAACAGCAGGCACTTCTGCAAAGAGGGGTCCAGAGTGAATCCAGACCCCACAGCAGGGCCTGACTTCACAAAGCTTCAACACTGTGCAGCCTCACCACTCTCCTCCCACAACATTTACCCCATGGGCACTATTTCCAAGTCCCACCATGCTTTTCGGCCCATGCTTTTGCTATTCTCCTGATAGACAGCTAGCCCCAAAGTTCTCCTAGGAAACTCCTATTCTTCCTTCAAAACCTAATTCAAACGTCAACTCAAGGCAGAAAAACAGGCAGCAGTTTAGATACATAACACACATAAATATGCGTATGTATATCTCCTCTCCCATCTACAAAGTTCTTTTCCCTCTACTTGAACTCTGTAACCACCCTGAACGGGGTACTATTATCCTATTTTACAGATGAGGAAAATGTGGTTCAGACCAAATGTGATCTTGCCTAAAGTCACACAGCCAGCAAGTGGAAGAGTGAAGAATCTGAATCCAGACTCTGTGATCTGAGCTCCATGCCTTTTCACAGGGAGGCTGTGGGCACTGAGGGCAGGAGCAGGCAAGGGGACCACTGACCTCCCGTTGCTCCAGAAGCATTTTTTGTAGCTGGGCATATACTTCCTCCGCCTTCTGGGAGAGCCGCAGATCCTCGTGGTGGATGAGGATGAAGTCACCTTCCTCATCCGTCAAGGGTGAAGGCACCTACCCAGGACACAAGGCCCTCGGGCCCCAAGAGTAGGGTTACTCTTCTACTGAGCTCGACAGGCGCAGGAATCCAAACTAAATGATTTTCCGGCTTCCATTCAACAGTGACAGAAACCCACTGCCCCCACCCTAACCCAGGCTGCTGGAACAGTCTGCTACCCTCTGGCCTTGCTCTGCCCTGTCATCTCTTTCCCTTCCGCTGGTCTCTTGGGGCCAGAGTAGGGAGAAGCATACGCAAAAGGCTCTTTCCCAAGTGTCATCATGTCCTGTCCAAATCCCACCTCCTTCCAGAAGCTGCCCCAGTTCACAGCCCAGCCTGTCAAACCTGCCACCTACCTGTACCGCATGAGACGTCCTGGAGCTTAACCAGGTGGCACTCACCTTGGAGAGATCAACAGGTCGGCCGGCTCGGGCCTGGATGATCTGAGCCTCCAGACCTTTGGCCACGCGCAGATGGGCTTTGGCCTGTTCCAGGTCCTGGCTCCGCTTGGCCTGCAGGGCTGCCCGCTGGTACTGCAACTTGCGTGCCTCCAACAACGCCAGCTGCTCCCGCACTGAAAGGAGAGGGCCACAGGTTGGACCATGCCTGCCTCCCTAGACCTGCCACTCCTCCATCTTGCTTGTTCCCGACTTACCAGATGGACTCAGTGACTCCTTAGAACTTGAGGCCTTGGGCTCAGGCAGGGGCTGAGATGAGGGGAGCAGAGGCCGTGCTGGCTTCTTGGCTACTGGGGCCTGCGCGGGGGGCTCACCCTACAGGTGCCCAGGAGGTGTCATGAGGGGATCTGTTCCCCACGCTGGATTAACTCCCTGTGTCACCTAAGATGAGTGGTTGCCCTTCCTGGACCCTAAAATTAGAGCTAGAAGAAGCCTCAAAAGTTCTCTGACTTAACCTCCCCAACAGGAGGGAGAAAGCAGGGTAATGGGGGAGAGCCTGGCTGTAGAGTCAGGATGAGCTTAGGCTGACTCCTAGCTGGGTGCCCCTGGCCACGTTTTTTCTCTTTAAAATGGAAGAAAGAACACCCACCTCACTGGGCTCATCAGTACTGACAACTGTCTGCGATAACCCCTCATCTGTTGTTCACCCCCCAACCCCGGATTTGTAGGCCCTCAGCCAAACCTCATCCTCGTCTTCATCTGCCAGGGCCACATCCTCTGAGGAGGCCAGCTTCTGGGATGCTGCTAAAGTCGCTGCCACTGCATCGTCCTCTGTGCCCACTGTGGGCTCCAGGCCAGGGATGGGGGGAAACCCTGCAGAGGAGCAAGACGGGGCTTGGAGGGGCAGAGAAGCCGCAGAGAAGCACACGGCTGCTGGGGACACCTTGTGGCTCTGCTGCAGCATGGCCAGATGATGGCTCCACAGGGTGGAGCAGAAACACGGGAAGTCACTTCCCTCCCTCCCTTCTTGCCCAAGGACCTCCCTCATAGTGCCCCGAGCGCAAGCCCAGCTCACCTGGAGGCACAGGCAACTCAGCAAAGTCAACTTTCCGTCCTGCCCGATGTGCTCGAATAGCATCTTGATATTGCTGCATGAGAAGGAAGGCAGGCATCCATGGTGGGCAGCAACCCCCAGATCCCTGCCCACCATGACACAGCGAGGCAAGACGACAGATGGACAGACAAAGCCCTGAGAGAAGAAAGAGCTCTGAGGCAGCAAGAGCTCCAGAGAGACAGATGGACAGAGGAAAACTCAGAAGAGACCAGGGCTGGAGGAGCAGAGACTGGGACAGCCAGCCAGGGGGAGGCCGCCACGGGCAGGCCGCACAGCCGCAGGCCCACCTTCGCAATGCGCTCGTGCATGCGAGCCTTGCGCTCATCCCCACTGCCCCGGGCCTGGATGCCGGCCTCGCGGTACTTGCTCAGCCTCTGCTGCAAGGCGTCCAGCACCGTCTGCGGCTCTGTAGATGCCACTTGGAGGGGGGAAGGAGAGGGCATCAGTTCTGCCTGCCCCTCCCCAGGTCCCCACCACACAATCCCACCAGCCTGTCCTACCTGGGGTTACTGGGACGTCAGGGGCCATCACTGGCTGCACTCGCTCCAGGGCTGGGGGAATGACTGAGGGGGCTGCAGGGGCCTGAGAGGCTTGTTGCAGGGGCTTCAGGTCTGCGGGACCCAGAGAGAAGTGTGGGGGAGTGTTCGGCCAGCTCCAGGTCGCTTCGCCTCCCCAACCCCAGCCTGAGCAGACCCCCAACCCCCACACTGACCCTCAGGTGCTGGGGGCATGGCGCTTAGGTCCACAGGCTGCCCCTTCTCCAGGGCCTCCAAGACGGCACTAAATCTCTGCAGAAGTCAAAAGCAGGTGTGGGCAAAAGCCAGGGAAACCGAGAGTCTGCACTGAAACACGGCCCCTCAGGCCGGTCTCACTCAAGCCCAGTCTAGCTCCCCTTCCAGCACCTCAGTTTCCCCTTCTGTACCACAAGGGGGGCACAGAGGGCCTCTGAGCAGATGCCATACCTTCCCAATCCTCATGAGCTCCCGGGCACGGTCAAGGTCCCCAGCCCGCTTGGCGCTGAGGGCAGCCACCTTGTATTCTCTCTGTCGGGATGATAACAGGGCCCGTGGGTCTAGGTCTGAATTGGGCGGGGTAGAAATGCCAGAGCTGCCTGGGAGGCTTGTTTCAGGCTGGGAGGGGTTGTCTATGGGGAAACAAAAAGCCCCCAGAGAGGGCAGGAGAGTCAAAGAAAACAGTGCCTGCTTCAGGTTCCCAGTGCCCATGGGTCTCACTGACCTGAGGACTCCTGGGAAGGTATGACTGATGGCAGTGGACAGAGGTGGCAGGAGGGGGTGCGGGAGGGAGGCCGTGGGCTATGACCCTGGTAACCAGGACAGAAGGATTAGAGTGTCTTCAGATACCTGGCTCCGTGGCTCGGGGAGCTGGAGGGTCTGCCTCAGGGCTCCTGGTGGCTGTTTCCTGGGGGTCCAGGGACCGTTTGCCTAAGGCCACTGGAGGTGGGATCTCTTCCTCATTGATCTTCCTGCCTTTCCTCACTGCAGCTAGCTGGGACTCCAGAGTCTGAGGGAGAGAATTGGTCTAGAAACCCAGCCAGCCACCTTGGCCTAGACCCACTCCAAGACAGGCCAGGGATCCAGTCCCTCCACAAGGCTAGTGGGGAGGCCTCCCCTCTGCTGGCGCAACCTCCACCTGCTGCCACCCATGGTCCCAGTGCCCCTAGCCTGGCCCAACTCACCTTCAGGCCGCGCTCACAGCGCCTGGTTTTGGCTGCTTCACCTGCTTCCTTGGCGCTGGCTGCAGCCTCCCGGTAGTTGTGGATCCGTTCCTCCAGCAAAGCCAGCAGCCCCCGAGGCCCTCCAGCCTGTGAATAACTCAGCTCAGGGCCTGGCCATTCCAGGGCCGGCTAGGCCCTTGCCATTTTCCCTGTGAGGAAGTTGCCCTACAAGACGGAGTTCTGGAACCCAGGAGAAAAAAGAGACTAAAAGCTTCAAGCTGGGAAGCAAAGACTCATTGGAAAGGCCAGAGGCCATTTCAGAAGCAAACACAGAGGCTCAGACAATTGTAGAGGCCAGAAAATGGCTTCCAGGGGTGGTCTAGGAGAACAGAGAGGCCTTTGAGGCTGGCCAGCCACGGAGGAGTTTCTTGTACAGTTTCTGCTTGGAGCAGCTGCTGGAGGATCCTGGCAAGGGTTACTGCAGCCTTGCCATGCGAGCCAGGCGACATGCATGCCACACGTGGGCAGGCAGGAGCAATCAAAGGCACATAACCACTCCTCCAGAACCTACCAGAGCCGCTGGGTCTGAAGCTGTCAGGAGGGCTGTCTGCACTGGAGGGTCAGTGTTTCCCGGTTCCTTCTCCTCCTCAGAGACATCTGGATCAGCTGCCTCATCACCACCCAGGGGCCCAGTCTCCTCATCCACACCCAGGACCTCCTGCAATTCAGTCTGGAAAGACAAAACAAGTCCCAGGAGCTTGGGGACCTCATGACCATATCCTGATAGGACCTGAGAATAAAAAACCTAACAGTATTCGCCAACGTCAACCATTGTGCCTGAAGGTCTCCACCAAAACATTTCTTCAATCTGTCAGGGACAGCCTTGAGAACAGCGAGGGCTTCCAGTCTTGAGAATCTCCTACTACAGAGCTCAGACCAGAGGTAAAGGAGACAAGTCTTATTCAGCCTGAAGGGCAAGGCACTCAGAGAACTCAGAGGGCCGACCCCTGGCCCCTCCACAGCCCTCTCCTCTCCCAGGCCCGACATGACCACAGAGCCCTTGGACACCCAACCAGCAGACGCACCAGCAGGTCTGCATCTTCCTCCAGCCCTTCCTCATCCTCATCCTCCTCCACATCCTTCATACAGTCCGCAGCCAACTTCTCAATGTGGGCCATGGGCACAGGGGCTGGCGAAAAAGGTCACAGCTCGTCAAGGAATTGCAGATAAGGTCCAAGATGAGTGCAGGAGGTTTCTTAATGCTGGGTAGATACACCCAGGCAAAAATCCCCCTCCCCTCCCACAGTACACTGCTCTTCCCTCAGGACCCAGCTTGAAAGACCCCCGGCAGAGAAATGTTCCTGGCCCTCCACCAAGCAATGAACTGTCCCTCGCTGCACTTCTGTCCATACAGTCATTCACAGACACCACCCATCCACTCCCTCCACCCACATCTCACGTCTGATTTTTGAAGTCCAACGGACACAACTTCTGTGTACTTGCTAAACGCCCAATTCAGCCCGTGCTAACTGGGCTCCTACTCTATACAGGACCTTCCCTAGAGCTGAGACCTGAGTCAGCCTGAGAATCAGATTTGTCCACAATGGGGTAGGGCCTAGGGAGGGAGTGCAGCCTATCACACAGGTGTGGAAGCAGGAGGCAGCTTCTGGGAAGGAGTGCTGCAGAAGGACACAGGGACAAGGGGGCTTGGGGGATCCCCAACTACAAGGTAAGCGCCCCTCTACCACCATCCTGTGTCCATCTGGCCCCAGCACCAAGCCCAGCCCAGTGTTGCACTCACCCCGTCCCGTGGGTGCTGGCTTCCTCCCCATGGTTCCTGCTTCCCCAGTGAGAGCCAGCAGCTCAGCTTCTAGGTCCTCGTCATCTTCAGTCCCATCAACCCCCAGCAGCATGTCCTCAGGGCTGAACTCCACAATGAGCCCCAGCTGAGGGCAGAGCAAGATTTTAGGAAACACACACAGAGGGGGAGCCCAGCCTGGTCAGTGGCTCCTTCAGTCTGTGGGGCCCAATGCGCAGAAAGGGAAACTAAGGTCTGCAGTATTACCCCTCTGGACACTTAGCTCCTCTGGGACTCTATGAAGAACCCAGTAAAGGCCAGGCATGGTGGCTCGTGCCTGTAATCCCAGCACTTTGGGAAGTGGAGGCGAGAGGACTGCCTGAGCCTAGGGATTCAAGACCAGCTTGGGCAACTTGGTGAGACCTCATCCCTACAATAAATCAAAAAATTAACCAGGCGTGGTGGCATGTTCCTGTGGTTCCAGCTACTTGGAAGGCTGAGGCAGAAGGATTGCCTGAGCCCCGTAGGTTAAGGCTGTGGTGGCTATGAGCATGCCACTGCATTCCAGCCTGGGGAACAGTAAGATTCTGACTCAAAAAAGAAAAAAATTAGACCCCCCCCAAAAAAAGAGTCCAGTAGTGGCTACACTGCCACTACTATTACTAACAACAATAATAGCAATAGCTGCCAGGCACTGTTGGCCTCCAGCAATCCTTCCACCTCAGCCTTCCACGTAGCTGGAACTACAGGAGCACGCTACCACGCCCTGCTAATTTTTTTTTTTTTTTAGTTTGAGTACTCTAAGTAGAGGTAGATCTTGTTTTTATCCCTATGTTCAGATGAAACTGAGACAGCCTTTTAAGTGACACAGTCAGAATTTTAAGGTCTTTGTGGCTTCAGCCTGTGTCTTTTTTGCCACCACTTTCCTTATCTGCCTCTTTTAAGACAATAAAAATGGCCTAAGAAATCTCAAGACTCGGGCCCAGAAGAAATAAAGGGAGAAAACTGGAGGATGCCCCCGCCCCCAGCTTCCACTTGGGCCACAGCCCTCTGTCCCTAGGCAGCCAAGTCTGTGAGAACACGGAGGTTCCATCAAGACACCCTAAACTCTGGTGGCTCCTGAACCCTTTCCCCACCTGTGTGTGGCAGGGACCAGTCAGGGGCCCGAAAGCTCCGCCACCTCCGGGGGTGCTGCTTAGTCTCTGAACTGATGGGGAAAGCACATGTGACCCAGTTTGCCTGAGCGTCATGGAACCTCCACCCCCAAACTGGCCCAGGGGCATAGGAGGCCATGTCCATACCTGCTTGGCAGCTGCCACACCCTGGCCACTGGCCTGAGGGCCCTTGCGAGGTCTTGGCCCTGGCATCTTTGCAGCCTGGTTACTTCCTGGTGGGGCGTTAAAGATACTCAAAACCCGGTCAGCTTATAGGTCCCGCCCCAGCAGAGCCACTGTGGGAAGGTGTGGTTGGTACACCCCAAAAAAGGCAGCGCGAGCACCCAAGGATGACTCACTCGTGGAAGGGGTGGGGACGGGCTTAATAGGGAGTGTGGACATGTAACAGAAAGCTACTGAATTGACTCGAGTTTGGAAAGCCAACTCAGGGAAGTAACTCTAGGTTCAGGGTGGGTTCACAGCTGGGTAGGATTCACAAAGGTTGTATCGTTGCGCCATCCATTAAGGAGGCCATAGGTGGCTGTTTAAGCTTAAATTTAAGGTTATAAAATGAGAAATACAGTTCCTCAGCCACACTAGACACCGTCCAAGCACTCAGCAGCCGCATGTGGCTAGCAGCTGCCAGGAGACAGCACAGACTCGGACATCTTCATCATGGCAGAAAGTTCCACTGCACTGCTGTGCTATAGGGAAACCTGACTCAGCATCCTGATGCTCTCAAGCCCACTGAGCGCCAGACCCCGTAGAATTCGCTCTACCAGGGTCTCAGCCCTCAAGGACCACTTACAAACGACACAAGGTGGCTGCAGGGGCTACAGGCGCCCTGAGGTGGCACCTTCTCCAGCAAAGAGAGGAAAAGTCCTCAGAGGTGGTGATGTCTGGGCTGAGCCATGAAGTCGGGAGAAGGAAGGGGAGCGGGGCAGCAAGCAGAGGGGGTGACCTGCTGATGTTCTGGGGCGAGAAACGACCGGGCCTGCGCCAGGAAACCAAAGGCCTGGGGCATAATCTGCCAGACCAGAAATGGTACCGGCCAGACTGGACCTGCGAGCAGGCGGCTCACAGGAGAAACCTTTCAGCGGGAAGGAGCTCTGGCATGATTCGGAGGGCAACGGGGAGAGAAGGGGGATGGCGGTTCGTAAGCACCACCGGCTGCAGCAGGGACCGCGCACAGGAAGTTGTGGCAGGAAGCGTCTCGGTGCCGAGCATCTCGGCACTGAGCATCTCGAAACCGTCCGGGAGGCGGAGGCCAGCCGAGGGGCGTGCGGGCGGCGGTGGGGCTGGGGGAAGTGGGCGGATGCGGGGTGGGAGGCACAGTCGACAGGGCCCGGGCTGAACGGGCGGGGACTTGTGGTGTCACAGGTCGGTGACTTGAGTGGACGGCGCGGCCGCCGACGAGCCGGGGCCACGGGAGCGACCGGGCTCTGAGGAAGCACGAGGCCGGCCGGACTCCAAGCCTGTGGCTCCGGCTCCGGTGCTGGAGCCAGTTCTGGGCTCCAGAGAGAGGCGGGCGGCGGAGGGCGCCGGAGGCGACGCCGGGCCCCACTCCCGCGCGGCGGGCGAGCCGCCGGCCCTGCCCGGGCCGCCTCCGTCTCCCCCGCTGTCCCCGGGTCTCCCCACGCCGAGGGGCCGGTACGCGGCATACCTCGCGGCGGATGCGAGCCAAACCCGGGCCTTCTCCCGCACGGCACAGCCCCGGGCTCCAGCGGCCCCGCGGCCGCAGCGGCAGCGACAGGAAGCGCCCGCCCGGGAGGCGGCGCGCGCCGGGCACGTGACTCCGCGATCGGGCGCCTCGCAGCGCGCATGTGCGGGGCCGGGCGGGCGGGCGGGGCGCTCCGACAGGCGACCCAGGGGCGGGGCCGCCAGCGCGCAGGCGCCGTCGCGCAGGTAGCGCGAGCCGGGGCTTGCCTGCTTGCCGCCGCGCTCGTGGGTGTCCTCGGCGTCTCAGGGACTGGGAAGCGGGACTCGCCGTCGTTTTCCTGACCCAGCACCGGAGGGGACCCCTTGACAGTCCGTTGAAAGCTTCAGATAAGACGCGCAGTGCTGGCCAGGCGCCTGAAATTCCACGGCTTCGAGAGGCCGAGGCGGGTAGATCTCTGGAGGCCAGGAGTTCGAGATCAGCCTGGAGCCTCACACCAAAAAACCTTTTTTTCTTTAAATCAGCCGGGCGTAGTGGCGCGCCTGTAGTCCCCGCTACTCGGGAGGCTGAGGCGGGAGGATGGCTTGAGCCCAGGAGTTCGAGGCTGCTGTGATCGCCACTGCATTCCAGCCTGGAGGACAGAACAAGACCCTGTGTCTGTCTTAAAAATAAATAAATAAGCCGGACTCGGTGGCTCAGCCTGTAATCCCGCGCCGTTGGGAGGCTGAGGTGAGCGGATTGCCTGAGCCCGCAGGTTCGAGACCCGCCTGGGCAGCGAAACCTCATCTCTACAATAAATCAAAAAATCAGCCGGGTGTGGTAGCGCGCACCTGTAATTCCGGCTACTCGGAAGGCTGAGGCGGAAGGATCGCCGGAGCCCAGCAGGTCGAGGCTGCGGTGGCCAGGAGTGGACACTGCACTCCAGTCTGGGTGACAGAGTGAGACTCCAACTCAAAAAAAATTAAAAAAAAAATCTACCTTTCTTAATTCTTAATTGTTTAGGTAAATTCTTTTTACCAACCCACGACTCTGGCTATGCCTAGCCTGCCACCACACACGGCATCTCCTAAACTTTTAAATTATGTTTTGTAGTTATTGCTTTCAAAGATCTGTTTCCTTGGACAAAGAGCTTTTCCATCTCCTTGTTGCTTTTGGGTGATTTCCCAGAGAAGAGACCAACTTTACCATTTTTTAATTGAGGTTTCACTTCTAATATTTCTTGTTCCTTTCAAATTATTATTTGTTATTTGTATTTACTTATTATTATTTTTTGTTGTTGTTGTTAGTCAGAGTCTCACTCCGTCACCCAGGCTGGAGGGTAGTGGCACGATCATGGCCACCACAGCCTCGACTTGCTGGGCTCAGGCCATCCTTTCACCTCAGCCTCCGAATAACTGAGACTACAGGCACACGCCACCATGCCTAGCTAATTTATTTTTTGTAGACACAAGGTCATGCTATGTTGCCCAGGCTGGTCTCGAACTCCTGGGCTGAAGTCATCCTCTTGCCTAGGCCTCCCAAGTGCTAGGATTACAGGCGTGAGCCACTGTGCCCTGCCCCTTTCAAATTAAAGACTTTTTATAATGAAATATTTAAGAAACAGAGATATGCAATATTTCACATTTACTAGAGTATAAGCACCAAAAAGGCAGACATTTTTGTTCAATAAGGTAGGGCCAGTCTAAAGCAGCACATGGTACCTAGTAGGCTCTTGATAGTTCCTTTTTTGTGTGAACTGCCAACTAAACCACATAGGCAGCTATTACAAGTTTAAGAAAAAACCCTATGACACAACTGAAGCCACTTGTATACCTCCCATATGGCAATACTTCCCTTTCCCAAAGAAGTACCCATTATCCTGAATTTGGTGCTTATTTTTCCTGAGCATTTCTATTTCTACTATGTACATGTCTAAATGTCCTTAAGCAATACATAATTTTTTTTCTTCCGCAAGCTTATAAACATTATATCTTCAGTAAACTGCTAACTTATTCCAATTTTTTCCTACTCAACCCTATGTGATGTAAGCGTCATCCACATTCTTATGTATAGTCAGTTGATTTTCATTTCTGTATGCTTGCCATTATGAACATTCTTGTATGGTGTACATATGTGAATCCCCCTAGGGCATACACCTAGGGATGGAATTGCTGACTCATAGACTTTCTTGAATTCTCTAGGCTAAATATTACCAAAGTATCTCCAAAATAGTCATTCTACTCCCATCAGCATGGTTCTTGAGTTCCTCTTGTTCTGTATCATCAAAGCTTTGCTGGCATAAAATGGTTTGCATGCCTCTTGTTCTGTTTCCATTTCGTTGGTCATTTGTTTCTTCTTCTGTGATTTACCCTTTTCCTTTTCCTTATTTTTATTTATTTATTTTTTGAGTCGGAGTCTCACTCTGTCGCCC